TTATTTCTTTTTCTGTAATTGATTCTTTTTCTGGACCAGAATACCAAAGTTCTTGAATTTGGAAAATCCCTTTTAATTTATTTCATTTGGTTACAAATATAAAACAGACAGAAAAAATCCTCCATGAATTCAATTTATGTATTTAAAAAAGATTAAAATAATTAGCAGCATATGTTGGTTTGAACTTGGATACACAAACATACTGCCCTTCCTTCACTGCTGCACTGTATAAGTTGAGAGCTTGATCCCCCTGCCATTGAAGTCAGCGGGGGAGATGCCTTTAACTTCACTAGATATATGACTCAGCCTAATTCCCCAGTGGGGCCTGCGTGTGTGTAAAGATTCCCGGGAGGTTAATTGCTTGCAGGGAGAGAGTCTTCGCCCGCCATGGAAAGGGAACATGCGAACTGCAAAACTGCAGCATTAACTGAATACTGCAGGAAAGCAGCCTGGAAAAGACACTGCCGTCCAAAGCAAGAGCATCTCCTAAGGCAGCAGTTCTGCATCTTCATAATGAGCTGCAGCCGCTCTCTACTTTAGGGTATTTTAAGCAAAGTCCCCTCCCGTGTCATCTTACCCAATGGCTTGTAAATTATGACAAAATGTTTTTGCCATGTGTTCCTGAGATTTATTTTGCTTTTGATTTTTTTTTCCTTTCTTTCCTCTTGCCCACTGGAGAGTACATTTTTTTAAGCCACAATTTGAAAATTGACATTTTAAAAGTATTTACTGGAGAACCACAAAATAAAAAGTTATGGAAGTGGAAGGGGGTTTCTAAACGAACTAAATAGAATCATTYTTTTCAGACTTATAAGATGTAAGTGAATGATTTTCTTACAACATGGTAAATCCTAAAATGTGCGAATTAATATTCTAAGAAAACTAAAAGAAGAACGCAGTTAGAAGTTTGACTTTTTATTCCTCCTGCAGCAAAACTCTTCATTTTTTTTCTCCCATGCCTCATTTGTTGTAATCCTTTCCCACCTATATTACACTTTGAATAATCCCTCTCATTCCTTGTCACATGTGCATTAAACCTCTTTCACGTTACAGACCTAAAGCTTCTAAAATAGCATTTCGGTTCTGCTGCTGTGAGGGTGCGGACCGTTGTCAGGCAGTTCTTACTGCTCTCATGCATATGCTGATCTACAATTTATTCTTAAAGTTCCTCTGTTCCTAAACTGGAACTTGCTCAGCCATAATTTATAATCCTGGCACAGACCCGGAATCCGTGGCATCACTTTTACACATCTGGAGTTAAACTATTAACTGGGAAGTAACAGGGGATAATTTAAGTTTTTTCTTTTATTTCTGCCTTTTCCAGCCGTGACAAATAATGTCAGTTCTCTCAAGAAAGACGAAAACAAAAGCAGAAAAATTTGCCTGTATTGTGACTACATCTTGTTTTCCTCAAAATATTGTAAGAAACATAAAAGTGATTCAATTTTATAACCAGAAGAGTTATCTGCCTTCTTTCCCATGGTAGCCCTATAGATAAATGTAACTTTGTGCTGTTTTTGTGAGCCTTGGTGCAACTGCACTTGAGCACTGTATCCCCAGCCTTTAAAATACACATTCAGGTTTAGAAAAGACTCACTTAATGATTCGTGTCCATGACAGGTCCGTGACAGGACCCRTGGGCACAGACTCAAGGCTTCCCCTGCCCAGGGCACACACGGGGAAGGGCAGGTTTGGGCTCAGCAAAGCTGCAACACTTGGAGGTGGGTTTTGCCATGGATTTATCAGTAGAATAGCTATCACCTACAGGTCTGGAAGATGCAAACTATCCCACCTGCTTTTAGAAACTACACTACATGCAACTGTAGAAAATATACTACATACAACTAGAATTGGTTGGCTAAATAATAGACCTGGATTAGTGGCTCAGCTCAGTGCCAGCCCCATAGTGTGTTCTGCTTTGTCTTCTTGTCCCACCAGTAGACAGAGCACATGGCAGGACCTAGGGGTTCCCTTCTCTGATTAAGGGAATGGAACATCTCTTGTATGAGGAGAGACTGGGTGAGCTGGGCCTGTTTTCTCTGGGGAACAGAAGGCTGAGAGGGGATCTGATTAATGTGTATAAGTTCAGGAAGGGAGAATGCAGGGAGGAAGAGGACARGCTGTTTTCACTGGTGGCCAGTGATAGGACAAGGGGTAATGGCCATAAGCTGGAGCAAAGGAAGTTCCGTCTTCAGGTGAGAAGGAGCTTCTTTACTGTTAGGGTGACAGAGCAGTGGAACAGGCTGCCCAGGGGGGTTGTGGAGTCTCCTACTCTGGAGGTCATTGTTTTCACAACCAGGAAGGTTGGACTRGATGATCTCTAGAGGTCCCTTCCAACCTTGAATATTCTGTGATTCTGTGATTCTGTGATTCTCTGAGGGAGGTAAAGGAGAATATTCAGCATGGATGTGGTGGGCAGAGGCAAGATGATTACACAGAGCAGGGCCTGTTGGAAATCAGGTTTGGTTTAAGGATGTTAGAATTTGTTTAAGTGACCCTAGAGATACAGATGTTCATGCAAGGAATGCRTGAGAGAAGTTTAGAAAGGCAAAAGTGTTTTTCCAGCAGACTTCTGCTTTACGTTTTATCTCATATAAATGAAATGATCCCTTATCAATGCTGCTCCAGTTGTTCTCCTGGCCGTTTTCACTCCTTTCACTGAGCCTCCCTGGGGACTTCCTTCTGCCCCAGGCTCCAAGCAGATGCTTCTTGTGCAGGGTGTCCCCCCTGCCACGCATCCCAAACTGGGTTCCCCCCGACCTGCTCCCCGCTGTGTCAGGGTTTCCAGCCTTGCTCTCCATTCCCCCCTCGCATCTCCGTGGAGAGACGGCCCTGGCAGCCCCGGACCCTTCCTGAGGGTCCCCTCAGCAGCCCCTGACCCTTCCTCTTCTGCTGCGCCCTGAGTTGCCCAGTTTTCATGGCCCCTCTGACCCTGCTGTGCTAAACCTAGCTTAGTTGTGTGTGCAGAAATACTCCATAAAATAGGACCTCCAAAGCACACTTAGGCCGAGGTCCATCAGCTGCCGTGTGTTTCAGCTGGGAACGAGGACATAGRGGAATGTGTGACAGCCTCACGGGCGGTTTTCTGTAGCGTACGAGCACGAAATAAAGACTCCAAACAAAGCGCAGCCCTTCCTGCTCCCCGTGGGGCCGGTGCCCCCCGCGGGACACGCGGACCCGCCGGGCCGGCGCGGCCCCTTCCGCAGCGCCGCTGCCGTGGCGCTTTAACGCGGCAGGGCCCGGRGGCGGCGCGCGGCGAGCGCAGCCCCGGGGCCGCCCCACTCCGCCCCCCGCCCCGCGCCCGCGCGGCGGCTCCGCGGCGGCGGCTCCGGCCGGGGCGGTGCGGGCGGCGGGCGGCCCCCCGGCACCCCGCAGGTAAGGGCGCCTGCTTCCAGCCCTGCTCTTCCCTCTGCATTTTCTCTTTTTTCTTTTTTCCCCCCCTTTTCCCCCTTCTTTTATCTTTCTTCTCCTTTCTTTTATCTTTTTTTCTCCCCTATTTTTTCTTTTCCCTTTTTTCCTGTCTTTTTTTCTTTTTCTTCCATTTTTTCTTTTTTCTTCCATTTTTTCTTTTTTCTTCCATTTTTCTTTTTTCTTCCATTTTTCTTTCTTTTTTTCTTCTATTTTTTCCTTTTTTTTCTTCCATTTTTTCTTTCTTTTTCTTCCATTTTTCCCTTCCTTTCCGCTCCCCTCAGCCTCCTGCCCCCCATCCCCTCCGTTTCTGCCAAACGCCGCTTTTCTCCAACAACTTTGTCTCCCCACCCGGCGCTGCTGCTGCCCGCGGGAGGCGGCGGCGGCCGCGCGGAGCCCCGCGGAGCCCCGCGCTGCGGCCGCGGCTCCTCAAGGAGGAGGATTAGAAACCGAGGTTGGAGGCGCCTCCTTGTAACGCGCCGAAATCCCTTCATCCCGGGAGGGGAAGCAGCTCCCGCCGCCCCGCCACAAAGAGAAGGAACAGATTTTAAAGCAAACCCAGAGGAAGGGACCGGGCTCGCTCCGCATGGGATCCGGTTTCCAGGTCCCGAGCGCTTGGTGACTCTGTGGCATTTGGCGCTGGCTTCGCGTGCGCCGYGTGTTGTCCGCTGCGCCTGCAGCTTGTGGCCATGGAAGCCCCCGGTGGGCTCGCGCATCCCTGTGTGCCGCAGGAAAACAGGATAACAGGATAACAGGATAACGGATCACGCAGCCCCCTGGCCTCCCCGCCACCTTCCCCGCGCTACCATCCCTCTCTTCCAGCTTCTACAGCACATCCCTGCACGGAGGCTCCGTGCCACCTTCCTGGGTTCAGGTTTCGCGTCCCAGTCCCCACGGGCCAGGTCCTCCTCCAGCAGCTCAAGCTTCTGTTGTCTTCGCTTGGGGAAAAACACTTTGCAGTGCCCATAAYTCTGAGGTTTATCTACCTGGAGAGCTGAGGTCCTGCTGCTTTCATCAGCAAGTTGTGGGAAAATGAATCTATAGGAATCCTTTTGCCTGCCCTGTGAGGATCTGGTGGGGCTTGATGGGCATGCGCCGTTGGTGGGACATAGACTTGTTCCTGTCATGCATCTCGGGGGTCAGTGTTTGAGGAAGCCTGCGCTGGTGGTCGCTTGGGTTCTTTCATCTCCAAAACAATGTGGCGGGGGATTTTGTTTCGTATTCTCATGGAGATGTCGCAATAGCAGCACTGAATTTAATAGCTTATTAGGCATGAGGAAAAAAAAGGGACATATTGAAATTAGGCTGGTCTCCTAAATTGCTAATGAATGCCATTAGACTTGGAGAGTTATTGTCCTCTCTTCAACACTGTGTCATGCCTTTGTTTGGCTAAAAAGCAGCCCTTGATTTTGTGGATGTTTTTATTTCTTCTAGCGGGCCCCTAGCCTCCCTTAGCCGGGGCCTTTGAAGGCAATTTCTCTCATGCTGCCTTTGCTCTCTTGGTGCAGGCGGTGCAGTCTGAGGAGCTCGGAGCTGCTGGTCGATGCGAGCGCAGGACAGAGCACGGGGAGGCCCATGAGGGGCAGGCACCGAGGCCCATCGGCGCCGCAGAGGACAGCGATGTAGATTCGGGCTCCCGCAGCCTCCGCCTGCACGCGTGCGGCCTCGAGAGCATGACCGCGGTGCAGAAYGGCTGTGGAAATGGCACCACCCTTACTTGTATAGTTATGGATAAGAAGGAGCCCCAGAGCCTCGCTACCGCCGTCAGTCTCAATGGGGGATACACCACCAGCTGTAGCCATGAGGAGGAGGTGCCAGGTGATAAACTCAGCCCTTCCAAAATCATGCGCTTCTTCTCCACCCCTAGGAAACGGGCTAATTCCAACTCGGAGAGGCCTCGGTCTCTCGTTTTGATGGGCAGCTCTTCCACGTGGAATGCTTTGTCTTCCATTAGAAAAATGGGATCGTTCAAGAAGTTAAGATCTTCAGTTCTCCAAGGAATTCAAACCAGGGAATGTCCAGAGATCTTAAATGAGAACAGCACGGGAAAACAAGGCTCAAATGGGGCAGTTGTGACAGTTCAGACTAACAGGTATTCCTATTCGGGGCCTTTGCAGGATTTCCAGGACGCAGTAGGTGGTTTAGGTTCTGATTGCTCCGATGCTGAGGAAGGTGATGATTCTTTTCTGAGGAACACTCACCGCTCGCGCAGCATCAGGAGGGCCTATGGGGTTGGCCGCATAAATTTGCTGGACACTGATAAAGCTCCGAGTAACCACAAATGTGCCAGGCCAACCTCTCCTGCCGCCTCAGAGCCAAAGATCTGTGAAATTGTGGTGAAAGATTCTGAAAACAACAGGATCATCTATCGGAGAAGCAAAAGCTCAGACAATTTAAACTTCCTGAAAAAAAGCTCTTTCAAACGAAAGTCCACCTCAAACCTCACCGACCTCAAGGCCGCACATGAAAAGCAAATGCCCCAAAGGACAGTAAGTGCCACATCCGCTGACTCGGACAAAACCAGCGGAAACTCCGAGAGAAGGTCCAAGCGGTGGAAGAGCCCTATCAGGGCAAAGGATTTTGACCGAGTTTTGAAGCTCGTAAGCAACGTTACAGATGCGGCATGGAGGAAGGATGGCCCTAGGAGCGCAGACCCTTCTCCCAGCGACCAGCCCCAGAGAACCAGGCCAAACAGCAGGCTGCACGACGACTATTCGCGCAGGGTTTCCAGCAGCACGGAGCACGACAGGAAGAGGTGCAGCTCCCCAGCGCCGAGCGCCGACTCCACCTCGCCTGGGACACCTTCCCTGCAAAGCCCCACGGGTCCTGCGTGTACCGAGGCTGCAGTGAGCGTAGCTGCYGCTGAAGACAGAAGCGTCAGCACCTCATCGGGGATCCTAGATTCACCTTCTCCGATTGACATCGGTCCAATCCCGAATGAAGTGTTTTATTCGGACTCGGATGAGCCGAAAGCTCCTTCCCAGTTTACCTACGAAGCTGAAAACCCTCATGTTCCTGCTAGGCCAACTGCTCCTAAGCCGCAAAGCCCCAGTGCAGAGAAGGTCAAGTGCAATATGAGTTTGCAGTGCCCAAACCACCACAGCACCTTGTCCCTGAGCTCGATGGAAAGCGAGGAGAGRATGGAGGTGCCGGGGCCGAAGCTAGGGAGGAATCCTGTTTGCTTCCAGGACTCTGTGCAGACTGTGTACTAYGACGATGGAAATGAAGACAGTGGCATAAGCAGCCACTCTCAGCTGAGCCTCAACTTAGCCCCTGGTGCTGAAGAAAAGAAGGAAGAGGTAAGAAAGCAAGCAACGTCCTTTATAAGGTATATGTATATGTGTCGGGTTTTGCCTTTATTCATGCAGAACAATGCGAAACAACCTGAGAGCTGATGGGTGTTTGCAGCTTGTTATTGCTCAAATATGCTGACAGCAATTATTTCTTTTAATATGTTCTCTTTGGAAGCTAACATCAAATTATTCTCCTTTGTGCAATAATATCAAAGCAAGTTTTGGCCGCAAAGCTACACATGTACGTTTTCAAGGGCAGTTTATAACCCCCTGCAGCTACACCATCCTGTCATGTGGTCTTGACAGATTTTAGCCTAAGCAGGGTCTAGCTGTATTTCTTCTGAGCTGAAAGATCTCCAAAGAAACTGTGGATGCTAAAAGTGGGGTTGATTCAACATATGCTTTTTTTTCTGTAGAACCCTTGCAGGATACGGTAGTATTTGTAGAGCAGCACGGTGTGCAAGATACAGAATAAATCCAATATTGGGCTGCTCGCAGTGTTCTCCCTGTGCCCTGATGGCTGTGCTGGGTGTGAGCCATTTGGATGCCTGCCTGCATATTTCAGACAGCAGTGCTCTACATGATGGGCTTAATATGTTGCCACTGACAAGCTGGACAAAATACCGGCCTTTCACTGTGCCTCATTTCCAGGTTCATGCTGTGAGTAGATGCTAGATGTGCTGCASCATCTCGGGGCGAGTTCAGGGAATAAACCTGCGTCTTCCTCTGAAAACACYGAGGAAAAGGCGTGTGGGTTGGCCCTGGAGAAGGTGCCGTGATTTGGCAGTGCCAGTGAGGAGCTGTCACTAGTGTGACAGGAGYAGCATGAGCTTAAGTGACCGTGGCTCCCCTCAAGTTAGGTCAATGTATCTCATATCCCAGGTAAAAATGAGAAAAACTGTTCAAAAGTTGTTCAAACCTCAGCCTTTTGTGCTGTGTAGTCTTACAATGTGTGTGAAGCCATCTTTCCTTTTAAAGCCTACTGTATTTTTTGCMAACTAAATACAGTTACAAAAGTTATAAATATTGTCATTCTGCTGGAGAAAAGCAAATTTATTTACTATGATGCCTGCAACTACAGTAAAATTTGAATAAATATACCAAATTTGGTATAATATAACCAAATATTACCCAAAATTTGGTAAAATATCCCAAAATACGCATGCATGTAGGAGCTCTGCGATCTGGAGTCCCACAGTTGCTACAGCTATCTGTCTTTCTTTAAAAACTTGCTTGAAGAGTGTATGCAAGGAGATGCTTTTACATGGCCAGGAGAGCCCTAGCGTGTAGATGGGATTTCTCAGCAATAAAATGGGGAAATCTTTCACTGGCAGAGTTAATGCTCCTCACCTACCATCTAGCGGTGATCTGTGTTCATGACACAACCAAGAGACAACCAGCTTGTCCCTCCCCTGCCCTCCCAGTGAATCAGCGCTGCCTTTCAGAAGTTTTTGAGTGGTTGCCTACACTTAAACTTGCTCTTTCTATTATATTTTGAATGAATAGTCCAGACATTGTATCATTGTCTTTGGTCATGCCCAAAGGGTGCATCCCTGAGCTGTGGCCCTTGGGGATATGAATTGGAGAGCACTTCTTTCATTTCCTTGGAAGGTCTCCTCCGTCCATGACTCTTCCCTGCATCTCTCAGCCTAGCTTGAGTATTGGTAGCTTGGTACCAACCATTCCATCTGTTTATGCCAGGAGATTTTTCTTTTATCTGAAGTTTATTCAACTGCAGGCACTTCTATGAATGCCACATATTCATACAGTGAGGTCACTGGCGTTTGAATGTTTGACTGTGACTTGTTTTTAGCTCTGTCTCACACCCCCATGCTACAGAACTGTTTGCAAACAGAAAATTGCTTTTGTGACAAGTTWTTCTGGGCAACCTTTTGAATGGTGATGCTGAGCAATGCAAATCCCAAACTTAAGACTTCATCGGAGCTGCACTCACAGACAACTCTTCAGTTTCCACATTTCATGTATCGCTTTTTATATATATTCCATATATATATATATTCCATATATACATGGTGTTTTTACACCATATAGTGCAGCACAGCCACTCAAAGCTCAGTGGCTCAGAGACCTGGTTTAATGCAAAGGTTCCAGTATACCAGTCAGGCTCAAACCTGCTCTCCTTTAAGGACTGGCTCCAGTAGCTGGAAGCAAAACCAGTTAATTCCTTTACCCATTTATTTAGTAGATTAGTTGGCAAATGAAGTTCTGGGACTTTGTTAATCTCTGTGTATTCCCAAATGTGGAAACTGTTTCCACATCGTGTTTCTTCCCCAACAGTATAAAGCTGATTTTGTTGTATTCACACATATATATCTATTTGCCTGAGTTGCTGCTATTTTTTTTTCCCCAATGAAATTTGGGCTTGAGATCCAGTCCTGGCTGTCATTTTATTGCCATTTTTTTGGTAGGAATACATGATGTACTAGAGCAGTGTTGGTGCTCACCCATCCTGGGTGCTGGGGCTCCTGGAGGTGGCTTCCCAACCAAGAGCTACTTGAAGGGTGCAAAGGTCCCTGCCCCAGCTCTCCTGAACTGCTCTCCAGTGACACCAGTCACCACGGGCTGCCATGGCCCGTGTCTTCTCCAGCTCTGCTTCATGCCCGTCTCACCCACCTGCAATATGTTGGTTTTAAATAGCACCAAGAGATGATTAAGTACAATTTCTGTGCTTAGGCAGTTTTTCTGTTGTCTTCGCCTTCCCAGAGAAGAGCCCCACATTACTGCGAATCATGAAAACTGAAACCCTGTGCTTTGGCCTGGCATGTGGCAGCTGCTAAGGCGACCTAGACAAAGCACTCTGCTGAATTTGTTACAGAAAAGATAACCAAAGGGTTATATCAATATATCAACCATTTGTTGATATATTGCCTAGATCTTCACAAGCTCTTAGAACACCTGATATTTAAGTTGCCTTGTTGGCAGCTGGCTTCATGGTACACCAGACTTTTTATAACTCAAATGCAGCACTGTATCTGTATGACTATAAACAAATGATAAATTTAAATTACAGTGGTAATTGAAGAGGTAACTCTGCTGTAATTAGAATTGAGTCACATTTTTGCTTGCAGCCTGTATTTTACATCCTGTGAGATCTGTCTGCTGACTTAGTTATTATGTTCATGATATTTGAAAATCAGTAGCCCTAGTTGACCTATGCAGTACCATTGCTGCAGCTCAGCAGTGTCCAGGGTCTGGCTGGCCCAACATGCTGTCCCTATGCACTGCTGGGCCCCAGCTGCTGCTCTGCTYATTGCCATACAGGCCTCCAGGCTTGAGTGCAAATGGGTGAACTTGGAGGAGAACTTGTGAAGGAAAAGAGGAGGAAGAGCTGTATGGATGGCACTTATAGAGGGGATTCAGCCCTGCCCACACTACTTATCCTCCCTACTTGCTTTGAAATATGTCCTCATGGTGAAGAGTGGAGAAGGCTGGGCATGGTCATGTTAAATGCACTAAGCATTTAACACACAGCAGCCAGGAGCTGAGGATGGACATATTTGGTCTGTGATACAAGCTCCCAAGCCCTGCAGTTTTCACCTCTCAGAACTGGCTTTTTTTGGATGTGTTCATCTGCAGGTTGAGTGATTACCTTTCTTGAATTAAAATAGGTGACAGGTATATAAAAACACAGGAGAACACTTCATTTTAGGGATATGAAGCACATAATACATACAAAAAAACTTTGGAGTAATTTTGCCCAACTTCATCTTAATTTGTATAACCGAAAATGTGATAAACTCTGGAAGGTGATCAGGAAAAGTAAGGTAGGGTCTTCTAAAAGTAAGGTCTTCCAAAACTCACTCTTCCAAAAAGTAGGATTTCCTACTTGTAATTTGGAATAGCACCACTTAGGGCTGCCCTAGTTAGTGCTAGCAACCCCGGGGGCTGGGAAGGGAGCAGAGCAACACCCTGATCTGCTCCCAGTGCCATCCCTGAGGGCCAGGGAACATTTAGTTCAGAGTGAGTGAGACTGGATTCACACTCAAGCCTGAGCTCAACCCTGTACCAGCCAGGGTGCTCTCACACCACTGCCACCCCTCATAGTGGCTCAAGGAAATGCTTCCAAGAGAACTTGCCCAGAGCAAAACCAGAAACCACCGGCATTGCTGCAGACYCAAGCGACAGGACTCATCACTGGAATGATGCAGAACAGAGCCCTCAAAGGACACATATATCTTCCTTCTGCCACAGCAAAAAACTCTTCCAATCAGAACACGCTCTGCCCTTCAGTACAGCCTGTGCCAGGGAAAAGAAAAGCCCCAAGGCAGCGGTGACAACCATCTGAATTTCAGATGAGCTTACATTTTAGACCGGTGAATGTGCAGTTGGATGGAATTGGCCATTGCTGAGCGGCAGGAGCTCAGCAGGGCAGTTGCTGTCCCTGCAAAGCATCTGTGGATGCTAAAAGGGGATATTCAGGAGGGCTCCCTTGCAGTTAGCTCTGAGAAAGCTGCTTCATTTCCTTATTACCTTCATGCTCCTCTACCTTTCCAAAGAGCATCTGATGTTTGATTCTGCTCTAGCTCCCTGCTGAGATGTCAGTAGTACCCAAGTGCTGCTCGCCGTGCGATCCTGAGCCTGGGGCTTCCAGAAGGTAATTCAGCTTATGTGTAGAGCAGGGTGTTGAACTGAAAATCCATCTCAACTTTCAACAAATCTCAGCTCAAAATCCATCTCTTTGCAAAGCCCAGATGGAGCATCGGCAGCTTTACCGCCCTCCCCTGCAGCACCCGGAGGTGGCTGAGCTGCTGAGGTTATGGGAGCCAAGATCCTCGGGAGCAGCGTGTTGTGCCAGGCTGGAAGAGTGGATGGAGCAGACTCAAATCTTCCAATCCAGGCTCAACCACAGCGGCCTCACCCTTACGCCGTGGTGTAGGAAGCAATAGTTTGCAGATATAAAAGCCCAAGGCGACTCCACCCTGGGCAYGTGGAGCTGCTGGTGCCTGGGTTTGGGCTGGGATAAGGAGGCCGTGCTCTCATGGATA